CACACCCGCTTTGAGACAACTAACTGCTATTCAATCTATAACTGAGATTGTGTTTTTTGTTTCACAGGCAGAAAAGTGCTCCTAAAACATGGCTGCTTGAACCCGAAGTTGGTGGCGTGATAAGTCAATACGCTAAGTCAACCGCATTCAGAGCTAAAATACAAAGTAAGCAGCTGCAGGGACCATTTTAGCCCAAGGCAGCTCATCTCATCAGGCCTTTTTAATCGAATGTATCGCTTCCAGTGTCAGTCCTCCTTCGATCCATCCCTCATTCATCTTAATAAAGGTAGGGTAATCTAGACTTTTTTGACCTAGGAGATTTCTCTTCTCAGTCACAATACCTCATGCTGCACTGAAGGTCCTCTCTGACAGGACACTTGAAGCGGGGCAGGCCAGAAGTTCTATCGCAAATTGGGAAAGCTCAGGCCACAGGTCAAGCCTGCACACCCAGTAGTCAAGGGGTTCATCACTCCTCAGAGTGTCGATATCTGCAGTTAAGGCGAGGTAGTCTGCTACCTGTCGGTCGAGTCGCTCTCTGAGGGTGGATCCCGAAGGGCTGTGGCGATGCGTAGGACTTAAAAAGGTCCACATGTCTCCTCCATCAACAACACGTCTCTAAAGCGTCCTGTCCTTGCCGGCGTGGTCATGGGAGGAGGAGGATGACTTCCACCTCTCCCCTGTTAGATTCCCGTTGTGCTGTGACATCACCCTTATACGCTGTGTAAAGCATACTTTTCAATTTATTTTGCAAATGCTGTATCCTTTCATACTTGTTGTAATTCGGTAACATTTCCGCCACTTTCTGCTTATACCGGGGGTCTAGTAGCGTGGACACCCAGTACAGGTCGTTCTCCTTCAGCCTTTTTATACGAGGGTCCCTCAAAAGGCACGACAGCATGAAAGACCCCATTTGCACAAGGTTGGATGCCGAGCTACTCATTTCCTGTTCCTCCTCCTCACTGATGTCAATGAAGGTATTTTCTTCCCCCAGCCACGTACAACACCACAGGTACCAGATAGGTGACAACGAGCACCCTGGGATGCCTGTTGTGGTTGGTCTTGCTCCTCCTCTTCCTCCTCCTCAAAGCCATTTTCCCTCTCTCTTGACCTCTTCCTCAGCATCCTCTTCCAGCTGCCGTAGGTCCTTCAGCAAAGCGATGGATAAGGTTGTTTCTGAGGCATGCACTACAACTCTTCCCTTCTTTCCTCTTCACGCTATTCACGCCTGATCTAGGCACGCTTCCAGGAAAGAAAAGTCAAATAAAGTAGAGTGTCGCGATGAAAGCTCTTCGTGCATCAGGACTAAATTTGTCACCTCCTCAAAAGGACGCATGAGCCTACAGGCATTGCGCATGAGCGTCCAGTAACGTGGCAAAAAAATTCCCAGCTCCCCAGAGGCTGTGCTAGCACCCCGGTCATACAAATATTCATTAACGGCTTTTTCTTGTTGGAGCAGGCGGTCGAACATTAGGAGTGTTGAATTCCAACGTGTCGGGCTGTCGCAAATCAAGCGCCTCACCGGCATGTTGTTTCGCCGCTGGATATCGGCAAAGTGAGCCATGGCCGTGTAGGAATGCCTGAAATGGCCACACACCTTCCTGGCCTGCTTCAGGACGTCCTGTAAGCCTGTGTACTTATGCACAAAGCGTTGTACGATCAGATTACACACATGTGCCATGCACAGCACATGTGTCAACTTGCCCAACTTCAATGCCGCCAACAAATTTGTTCTGTTGTCACAAACCACTTTGCCGATCTCCAGTTGCTGCGCAGTCAGCCACTTTTCCACCTGTGCGTTCAGGGCTGACAGGAGTGCTTGTGCGGTGTGACTCTCTGCTTTCAAGCAAGTCAAACCCAAGACGGTGTGACACTGCCGTATCCGGGATGTGGAATAGTACCTGGGGAGCTGGGGGGGTGCCGTTGATGGGGAGCAAGACGCAGCAGCAGAAGAGGACTCAGCCGAGGAGGTTATGGAAGAGGATGGAGTAGGAGGAGTAGAGGAGGTGGCAGCAGGACTGCCTG